GCGTGCCCGCGCGGCAGTGTTGACACAGCCCTGCCTTTGTGTGCTAATCGGCCGCGCAGGCCCGAGAGAGACCTTTTCACGCCACTGCAACGCAAGGCAGCCCGATCACACCCCGGGGGCGCAGTGCTCCCGTGGTCAAAGTGAGCCGTCAGAGCTGCACCTAGAATCATTCTGCCGCGGGAGACCCAGAAACACCGTGACAGTGCGGGAGGTCCGCGGTCTCGCAGGGTCCCCAGTCCAGACTGGGCCTGTAGGTGCACAGGAGAGGGAGGACTGCGTCTGCAAGGTCGTGCTCAATTCGATTCGCGGCTTTGCGGGTGTCAGATGTTTCATTTTAAGCTATGCCCGTTTTCAAATGTAGTTTTTAAGATCACTTTATTGGCCCTATACAATTTCTTGCATGAGGAATTTGTCTTTTCGCAGACCCCAGCTTGCTCTCCATGAGACACACAGACAGGGAGAGAGAAGCTGGGGGTCAGAGCGCAGGGGCAGCCATTCATACGGCGCCTCTGGAGCAGCTGGGGTTCAGGGCCTCGCTCAGGGGCCCAACGGAGTAGGATTCCTCTGCCGGCCGCGGGGATTTGAACCGGCAATCTTCCAGCCACAGGCGCAGATCCTCAGCCACAGAGCCCCCGCTCCGCCCCTGGTAGCAGAGATAGTATTGATCCATTGACCTCTGGGCTCAAACAAAAATTCAGACGGGAGCGAAATAATTCTTCCAAGCAGCTCGGGTTTGACACGAAAGACGTGTGGGATTGCACGGCCCGTGTCTCGCCTCGCACTTCCAGATGGGAAGGCCGATCTCGCCTTGAGGGAGGAATAACAGCTGCGGGCAGCAGTAGTAATGGGCAGGCCGCTTCTGTGTTTTTGGCAGATAACGAGATCGGCGGGTTTTGACGCGGTCTGCAGTGAGGGATTTAGGAAGGGCTGCAGGTTTGGGACCGCAGCCTGTTTGATATCGTTCCAGGCTCTGTGGGCTTGAGCGACTTCAGATCGTCTCCTGCTTCAGGGTGCAATGCCAGTGGTGGACATGGGGGCAGGGGGGTCTGTAAGGCAGCATCGCAGCATCGGGGGCTGGTCCGTCCGGGGGGGGGGCACACGTGTACACACACACACACATGCACACGCGTGTGAACATGAAGCGAGGCTGGAATACACACGTCAGGCACTGGCATGCATGTCAAAAGAAACGCGCACAGATACACAGCGCGTGTCCCTAGATTTCCATACCACCCGGCCAGCCCCTCTGGAGACTGGGGGTGGGGGTGGTTTAGGATCACAGGGATCGGGACACCCCAGGTAGCAATCGGGTCAGGTTTTGCAAGCTTTTGCTCTGGGTCCAGGGTAGTCTGCTCCCAGGTTGTGCTTGTGGAGTTGGGGGGGATGTGTGTGGGAAGCTATATAGAACCATAGCAGTTCTGTACGAAGACGTGCCTCCATGCTGGTGCACGACCCCACCAAGAGACTGGCGATGTAGTGATGTAGCCTCCAGTCCTTAGACAAGAGGCGCCCACCTCTTTTTAGTCTGGGAGTCCCACTGCACCAACAGCTTCGTCAAGCATCAGATGGAGGACTGACGCAGCTCCCGCTGAGCGTAATTCAGTGGTACACAGTGGGCTATTGTTGTTGTGATGAGCTGGGGAAACGGGCTGACTTTAACCTCTCTCCAAACCCAGAGTTGTGTAAGCCTGGCCCACTGCTCTCTGGGGCAATCCCGATCTCAGTGGGCTAATGGCACGGACCAGATTGGAACCTGCAATCGTCAAGCTGTAGACCTCCACCTGAACTCTGAGAGGAGGCAACTGGGCAGCCTCTCAAAGAGGAGGTGCTGAAGAAATGTTTTTCGGCAGCACAAAGCCCGCGGCGCGCACGCTGACACACTCGTGCAATCGTTTTCACGCCCAACCCTGTGAAACACAAACACCCTCCGTGCCCTTGTCACCTGGTTTGACATCCTGAAGTCCTAAAACACGACACAAGGGCTGCTGGGCCTAGGGGGGTCAAAGGTGAAAGGTTATGAACTGCAATTCACGACCTGGCATAGCATGGGAGAGTGTCCCACCTCCACATCCTGTCAACCCCCCCCCCGTCTCATTCTCCCCGTGACGGCGGCAGCAGACGCTAAAGATCTCTATGGAAAACTAGGTGTGTGTTGGTGGACCAGTAGGTGGCGCTCTTCACGGCAATGACCCAGAAGACACTGTCCTGACCAGACTGCTCGATCATTAAAAATCCCCCGGTGTTAACCCAGGTGTCCTGGTTAACTCCCACTTTCCTTCTCTGGGGGAGACAGTGTCTCTCTCCTCCCCCTGACCTGCTGTGTCTCGGGGCTCCTGTCTCACCCAGGTGGATCTGTGCTCCTCTTGTGTGGAAACTGAGTGGAATTCAATCTGTTTACGACTCCTGCTGGAGAGAAAATCAGCTGGCCACAGGCGCGGAGTTTTACGGTCTGTGGTTCCCTGGTGTTGGGCCGTTCGGATATGACCTTTCTTCCACTCACAGTCCCGCAAATTAATCTTGCAGTGAGAGCACAGTAATGCGCCTGTATTGTACAGGTACCGTAGGTCTGCAGGTCACAGATAAGTACGCGTCTGCTCGACACTGACTCATTCATCAGGCTGGGGGAATTTGAATAAAAGACTTGTGAGCCTTGGGACTTTCCGGATCTCTGTATCCGTGTGTGCACCGAGAGGAGAGACAATCGCACGGCCCATGCTACTGGATCCAGAGTTGTGTCTCTGTGGCTTAATGCCTCTTGGTATGGATGTACAGTGTATATCGGTGTCGGTGTGTTTTCCGCTGAACTGTGGCAGCTGCGGCTCTTTCCGCTGCCTGTTTCGTGAGGCGAGGCCCCAGCGTTTCGGTTTTTGCCATTATCTGATGTGACCAGGGCTTGAACTCTCCCCGCCACTCGCTCTCCTCACCCAAACGGAAGGAGTTTCCACGGCGACCGCACAACAGGCCTGACACAACAGCCCTGCTGTGGGAGGAGCGAACAGCGAGTGTGTCTGTGAGTCTGTGAGTCTGTGAGTCTGTGAGTCTGTGAGTCTGTGAGTCTGTGAGTCTGTGTGTCTTTGATATATGAAACCAGTCCTGTTTCTTCAGCTATTAAACAAATTGATCCTAATTGGCCTCATGGCACGCGGCAGCAGAGAACAGTGAGAGATTTTGGAGGAGAACAGGCTGTTCTGTCCTTCCCAGTCTCCTGTGCCCTGACTGCACTGCCTGGGCTTCTCCCTGCGGCCATCAGCTCCAAAATTACTTAAGGAAACCCTCTGCCGTTAAGGAAACTGGCCGAGGCCAGTATTTACTTAAGTCAACATCTTCCCATATTGCTTTCAGCACCCTGCGGGGATACTTGCACACAATCAAATTACACCATCAAACGGAAATGGCGGATTTGAAACGGCTCCTTCTGAAGAACAGAAGAGGTTTTATTTAGAAAAGCACTAGCTCTGGCTAGGCCTGTCAGAGCCCAGCACAGTGAATGCTCAGTTCCTTTACTGTGAACGCTGTCTCTCTGAAGTATCCCAGCATGCTCTGGGCACAGCGCCCACTTCCTGTTCTCCATGAAGCACCTTCCTGTTGTGGTTGCTGTCTTCAAACCGTGTGCAACAGCCCGGAACTGCACAGGCACACCCTGAATACCTCAGCAGTTCAGGCTGTTACTGCTTCAGCCCTCGTCTCCCTGACCGCGGCAGGACAGCACAGCCCAGCCCTCGCCATGGTGACCTGCCCTTGGGAGTGAAAGACATCACCGCCAGCAGGCTTCAGGGTTTGCCCAGATGTTCAGAAGGTCAGCCAGGAGAGTTTGGCAACAGAGCCGTATGGACAGGGGGGACCGAGATGAACCTTTCGCAAAAAAAAGTGTGTAGAAACGTCCAGTCTGCTTAGGCAGAAGGAAATGCTTCCATACTCTATTGAGTGAGGCGTTGCCCTGCGGCTCAGCTATGAGCCTGTCCCATGCCCAAGGCAACCCAGAAGTTCACGGGGAACAAAAATGGAAAATCTGGGACTAGCCAAGCCAATCTCCAGATATGAATCCAACCGAGGGGCATTTTACAAGCTGGGGAAAAAATTGGCGTTGGAACAGCCCGCAAGTAGCCAAGAACTGAAATGTCATTTGAGCGGGGTATGGGAGATGATTTCACACAGCGTGTGGTGAGCTCAATGGGTCGCAGGCTTGCGGGTATGGCCTCAGAGGGATATGCAAGCCAAATAATGACTTCTCATCTCAAACTGAAAGTGCTTAAAGTGAATGTGTCCCAATATTCTTGGTCATTTGCAATGACTGGGTTGAAGTGGGGTTTTTCCCAATATAAACACATGTAATGAATTTCCAACATATGATGTATATTCCATTGCTCAGGATCACACCTTGATGGGAGAACAATGTTTTTCAGGGGGCCCTATCTTTCTGAAGCTCCACAAATATGAAGAGACTGGGGGAGCTGGGTGAGTTTGGGGGGGGGGTCTCTAGCCCCAGTCCACCAGGTTTAATAGGTAACTATGAAATCAACAACTTCTAAAGACCTGGATCAAGGGCAACGCCAACAGTTCTGACTTCATGCAGATACTCCTGCTCGTCACTGTGCAATAGTTTAAAACCGACCTCCGGTGTCTTTAATACTAGAGCTAAAATCAGACCAATCAAATCAAGCCTCTTATTAAGTCAATTAAGGGTTTGATTGGGGCACCTTCTGTGTGGAATCCGCGCGTTCTCAGGCTGTTTTGCCAGGTGTCCCAGTTTTCTCCCAAGAGCCAAAGACTTGATCTTGGTTAATCGGCATCTCGGAAATTGGCTGCGGCGGCCATCGTCTACAGAGCTGGCCCCCAGCTCACCACGACGCTGTATTGGACAAGCGCTTCCTGAATACTGAGGACGGGTGAGTGCAGCCATTCATTATTCTGTGATCTGTTTATTTTACACCCGTCTAATTTGGAAATCAACAGTTTCTTAAGACGTGGGTCTCCGGCATGGGCCTCCTTCACCATGCTCCGAGAGACGTGCCCGCCCGTTCTCTTAACAGACTCCAGGCCGCGCAGTCCCCTCACAGGTCAGTCTGTCCCCTGCAGAGGACTGACCGCCTGCTGGAGCCACTGTGCTGTGGAAGAGCCCTCCCTACCTTGCCCTCCTCGAGCAGGGCCCTGCTAGTACCATCCGCGAGGT